GATATATATGGATAGGAAAAAAAATGACACTGGAAAATTATTGATCGAATCACTGAACTGATCAAAAGTGAAGTGGATGAAGTTGATCAAGTAAATCGAGAAGGATAACGCCTCGATGTTAATCAGTTCATGATATGAGATAGTGAATTGGATGAAGTGGATCAAGCGGATCAATCGGACCAACTATGACGGTGTGCCGTAGTTGCTTCATGACTGGTCAAATCAGTGATTGAACCAATCAGAAGCGGCTAAGCAGCTAACCGCATAAATCCATCGCCTGATTAAGAATGTTTCACGATGCAGTCGCTGCAGCGACGTTCGCACGCAGAACGACACCACGACTGAGACGAGCTGGGTTCGTTGATGTGATAAAGCATCACACTCACCTTTGTGACTGGTTGGTCCTGCAGCAAGACTTTGTGACAAACATCACCTGGCAAAGGGAATTGCTTGTCTGCAGGTCCTAATAGAGAGTTCTGACGTACTGAAAAGACACTAAGTGACTATTACATAGCTCGTAAACTAAGAAAACTGACCTGCTGCTTCTTTAACAAAGACAACGGTAGGGCGGGTAAAGTGTGCCTGAGCAGAAAACTGACGTACACGTGTGTTGAACGCACGCATTTGTGGACCTACGGCAGTGACCTTCATCTTGCTAACCTCCCCTGAAAAAAGGTATCATTAACAAGCTCGAAACGGACAAGCCGAGCCGACGTAATACGCAAGGAAAGTACTTAGTCATCGTGTTTTAGGAGTAATCCAGTCAAGTATACACAAAACCCAACAGTTGATCTACCAGAGGACATTCAAATGAGGTACTTTTCCATAAGAATAAAACTGAACCAATTCCCACCTCAAATCGAAGGCGAAGGATGTAAGTTGGTATAGTTGATATTAGTTGTATCAATCAATGGAAACGGCAACGTTTGTGAAAAAAGCAGCTGCTCAGGACGGGCGTACTGGACCATAGCGAAGACATAATCAAATCACAAACCTCCTCCGGCAATAGCTATCCAAGAACTGAGTACATCTTCAAGGATACTCTAGACACCCTCATTTTTAGAGCGATCACTAAGAATCACGGTGCATTACTTGCCCCCGAGAGAACAAACGATGAAATGACAGGCTCCCAGTAACAGGAGGTTATAGAGTCTAAG